TATTACTTCTTTATTTCCTTCAGTTCCATCTGCATTATTATGCTAATACAAATCACACTAATTATGTGTCAAGCTGAACACTAAGGGATGGGACTTGTCTGCACCTATATCACTAAATATTTGAAATGACAGTTTCAAAACTTGTCACCAACAAGTGAAAAGTATGCGAAATTAAAACAGTCATAATGACTCAAATGAAAGAAAATCTGAGAGGAGTAAGAACTGCGATTACTAATTAAGCCATGTCAATGGAGCATGTCTCTGAAAACTGTTCTTCGTACCATAACAATCATTTTAAGGGGAAATAGTTACACATTGATAGCAATGAAAAGAACCTTCTTGCAAACAATTTGATTTCATTTAGAAAAGGCTATTAAATATAGAAGTGAAATATTTTTAGCCTTCCCCAAATATCAAAAAAACAGAGGGACGAGTAATCCCTTGGTGGCACTGACGGTTTGATCTGTGAGGACAAAGAATGGTAAGGTTTTTAGATGAGTAAAAAACACCTGATTGACCATGGAAAGAAAATCCAGAAGTTGGTAGAAAACAAAGAACAAATCCCTTTTTTATAAAACTTAAAAATAAAAAAAAAAAACCACAACATTCTTAACGGTTGAGCTTCATTAATTCATTTAAGCTATTACAATTCAATAAATATCTGTAGGTTACAAACAAGCTGCTGTGTCAGGTGCAAGCTCTCAGACAGGTGCACTCCCCTTTGGCGGTACCCAGTTTGACTGCTTTTCCCTTCCTCCTTCCCCGTGAGCATCTGCAACAGGAGGGGAGGAAGGGTGGCCTTCTACAACAAGAGCTGTCACACACCCAGGCCCCAACAGAAGTCTAGTTTCCTGTATTCCTCCTTGGGACACCGCTGTAAACCACCATGTTTGCACGGTGTAACGTTCACCGAGACTGCATGTGCAAAATGCACTTTTAAAAAAAAAAGGTTTTGGGGCCAGCACTGTGGCACAGTGGGTTAAAGCCCCAGCCTACAGCGCTGGCATCCCAAGTGGGTGCCTGTTCGAGTCCCAGCTGTTCCTTTTCCAATCCAGCTCTCTGCTGTGGCCTGGGAAAGCAGTGGAAGATGGCCCAAATCCTTGGGCCCCTGTACTTGCGTGGGAGAACCAGAGGAAGCTCCTGGCTCCTAGCTTCGGATCAGCTCAGCTCTGGCCATTGGAGTCATTTGGGGAGTGAATCAGCAGAATGGAAGATTCTCTCTCTCTCTCTCTCTCTCTCTGTAACTCTGTCTTTGAAATCAATAAAATAATTCTTTAAAAAAAGTTTCTTTTATTTGAAAGGCAGAGTTACAGAGAGAGGGAGAGACAGAGATCTTCTATCTGTTGGTTCACTCTCTAACTGGCCACAAAGGCTAGGGCTGGGCCAGGCTGAAGCCAGGAGCCAGGAGCTTCTTCTGGGTCTCCTACATGAGTGCAGGGGCCCAAGCACTTGGGCCGTCTCCTGCTGCTTTCCCAGGCACATTAGCAGGGAGCTGGATCAGAAGTGGAGTGACCGGGCACCACCATGGGATTGTGGAGTCACAGGTGGCAGCTTAACCTATTATGCCTACACCAGCCCCAGCTGTGTCCTTTCTCTAAGCCCACTCCCAAGGGAGATGCTTGGAGAAACAACTACTACATACTTACATTCATATTAGGAGCAGGATCAAAGTGTGTTAGTGGACTCAGCTGATTTAACAAATACTACATTCTCATTTTCTTCCAGGAAAAACCTACACCAATAAAGGAGCGAGCCATTTCTGGTGGGCAGGGCAGTGGATTGTGGTTAATGCCCTGGTTTCTGGAACATGCAGAACAGTGGGGAGCAAGACTGGGAACTCAACGTTCTGTGCCTGAGGAAACGCTACAGCCAAGACAACATCAAATGCTTGTGCCTTCCCTTCAGCCTCACCCTTGTCTTCTCTTTTTGCTTATTAGAAAGGCTGAGCTGCAGCTACAACTAGAACCAGAGTTGGAGGCAGAGTGAGAGATTCCTCATCTGCTGGCTCACTCCCCAAATGTCCATAAACAGCTGGGCTGGGCCAGGAGCCCAGAACTTAATCCAGGTCTCCCTGGTGGACAGTGGAGACCCAGTTATTACCTGCTGCCTCCCAGGGTGCACCTCAGCAGAAAGCAGAATCAGAAGCTGAACCGAGCTGTGAACCCAGGAACTCTGATGGGGAATGTGGCCACTCTGCACAGCCTCTTTACCACTTTGCACACGACCACTGCAGGTCCTTGTTTTGTGATGGGGGCTTCGACAGCAGGGACACATCCATTAATGCGCAGGCAGAACACAACAGGCGAAGCAGGTTGCTCTGTTAAGCTTCCTTCTCTCTTCTTCACTTCGCCTCCCACTGCCATCTGGTGCCAACTTACACAGCTGTGCTCACCGGCCAGCTCCCCAGTGGTTTTCCCGTTGGGTCCCATGGATAACTCCCGGTCTACAATCTCCCTGGCTTTGTGGAATCGCCGATACTGGAAGTTCTCTGTGGTTTCTGGGCCATAGGAGACTGCAAGTGTGGTAAGGGTAGGGACTGAGCAGTTGTTCCCCAGAGCATTCTCATGAAGCTTGGCAGGTGCTTGCTCATAACCCACACCCAAGGAAGACTTCCATGAATGAGCCAGAGCTTTCTGGCTCCTCTCCCATCTCTGGCTGAGCCTTCGCAGGCCTCTCCTTAAGCGATGACATTCTTCTGGGCTGGTTCTTGACATGCTTTTCTTCCGCTCCACACTCTCCTGGTGACTTCATGTGCTTCCCTGTCCCGGGAAGATTCCAAGTTCTCTTTTCCAGCCAAGACCGGCCTGCTCTGACGCCATGCTAACATTGCAGGCTGCTTCTCCAGTCCTGGACTGCATTCCAGGCTCTGGCCTGCTCCAACTCTGGCTGTTGCAGATGTCTGGGGAGTGAACTAGCAGTTGGCAGCTCTTTGTCTCTGCCTCTCAAATAAACAAACACAACTCTCCCCAGCTCATCTGCCCTGCTTCCTGTTTCAGTGAGTGGCATGAACACTCACCAAACTGTCCAAATCAGAAACCTGGGAGTCATCCTTAACCCACTTCTCTCCTGGGTACCAGTCCCCTCCTACATTCCATCTCTGAGTTCTGAGTTCTGTTGATTCTTCCTCCTCCTCCTCTTCTTCTTCTTCTTTTTTTTTTAAGATTTATTTATTTGAAAGGCAGAGTGAAAAAGAGAAAGGAGGAGAGAGATCTTCCATTCAATGGTTCACTCCCCAAATGTCTGCAACAACCAGGGCTAGCCAGGCTGAAGCCGGGGGCCCAGACCCATCCAGGTCTGGGTGGCAGGGGGCCAAGTGCACTTGGGTCTTTCTTTGCTGCCTCCCAGCTGCACCAGCAAGGAGCCAGATCAGAAGCAGAGCAGCCAGGACTCCAACCTGTGCTCTGATATGGGATGCCAGCATCACAGGCAGCAGCTTAACCTCTTGTACCACAACACGGGCTCTAATTCTTCTTCCAAACTCTCTCTGATCTATCCACACCTACTACACTCTCCAACTGGCCTGGTCTTCTGCTGTGGCCTCATCTCTCCTTCCAGGGAGGGGGAACTTGCACCTGCTGTTCTGACTGACACCTACTTATCTTTTGGTTTCCAAACATCTCCTCCCAGAAGACTTTTCCTGATGCTGTCCAGCCCAAGTCAGGCACTCTTGCTATGAGCTCGAGAGCACTCTGGGTGTCCCAGCAGAGTATTCATCAGGTAATATCTCTAGCTCCTGTTTGACACCTGCATCCCTTGCCAGATGTGTCCACCTGGCTCATTATTTTAACTCTGCAGCTAGAAGAGCAACCATAAAGATAGTTACAAAAACCTCAGCATGAATAAGTGAAAGCAAATTTATAAATTTTTTTAAGGTTTGTTCACTTATTTATATGAAAGGCAGAGACACAGAGAAGGAGGGAGAGAGGGAGGGGGAGAGAGAGAAAGAGAAAGATCTTTCATTTGCTGGCTTGCTCCCCAAATGGCCGCAATTGCCAGAGCTGGGCCAGGCCAAAGCCAGGAGCCAGCAGCTTCTTTCTGGTCTCCCACATGGGTGCAGGGACCCAAGGACTTGGGTAATCTTCCACTGCTCTCCCAGGAGTATTAGCTAGAATCTGGATTGGAAGTGGAGCAGACAGGACTCAAACTGGTTCTCATATGGGAAGCTGGCACTGCACGCAGTGGCCCAACACTCCACACCACAGCCCCAGCCCCACAGATCTACAAATTTGTAAAATTAGTATAAAAATGCATGATATCACTGTAAAAGAATGTAATTTACAAAACGGACAGCCAGCACCTGGAGCCAGCTTTCCAACGGAATGGTCAAGGAAAGGCGCTTCCGGGCGACAAGCGGGAACGACGGAGTCGAGGCTCACTTTTCACATCGGCACAGGAGGGTTTGGGCCAAGTGAGGTTCACATACAGGAAGCTATGCCCCAATTTCTCATCGAAACAGATCTTTCAAGGTGACTCTGTCTAGACTCTCATACAATAAACTAACGTGGTACAAATATTACCTAATGCTCAACAAGTCAGGAAAAGGTAAAAAGAGGTAGCTCCTTCACCCCTAATTTTCAAGTGAAAAAGTACTCTATTTGCATTTTATTTTGTATCATTGGAGAAGTGTGTGCAGCTCATCCAAGCCAAGGCTTCCGCAGGGGGGCAAACAGGCTTAGGGACGTGTGGAGGCCTCCTGAGGGTCACAGCTGGTTAGGTGGCAGGGAGGGCAGCTGGGGAGCCGAGCCCTGACCTCAAGCTTACTGCACAGGGGCTGTGTCTACTCGAGCACGGTGCGTGTGAAACATTCCTCTCAACCACACCGACAACTAACAGCTAAGTCACTATTCAGGAAAGAGCATGCGCCTCAGCCCCCACCGACAAGGCATTTCCCGCCGGCCGCAGTGGCCGGGAAACGCCAAGAACCATGCCGGCCTGGAAGAACAGATGCGCAGCTCCCCAGGCCCCTGGGGCTGCGGCGAGGGAGGTATCCACGTGCTTACCTTTTCTTTGTCACTAGCTTCTCGAGCCACTGTTGAGCCCTGAAACACAAAGAGACAATGAAAACATGGCCACGCCAAGCACCATGCTGTCCCACGCACTGTGAAACAGGAAATCGGTCATGGCGGGGTCGGTCCATGGGCTGCCCGGCTCTGGGGCATGTCCTGCCCTCTGCAGGCGTCTTGTCCCTTGCCCACCCCCCTCCGCCCTGCCTTCTCTCTAGTCCCTGCCTGCCGGCTGGAAACCCACAAGCCTGACCAGCATGAGAGCAATCATCTGCTAAACTCACGTCTTGAATCCCCTGCCAGACACGGTATCTTCCTACCCTCAAAAGGGGCAGCAGGCCATCGTCTGGCTCCAGAACCGCGGGGCCTCGGGCTCCCCTCCCCGGCAAGATGCCCTTGACTGTCTCCGAAACTCTGCTCTCTCCCCTGATGGCAGGTTCTGGCGGCCGCGCCTTCTCTCCTGCACCATAAGTCCCCATGGGCACTGTCTGACTTTCCTGGTGCTTTAGAGGTTCCTTCAGAGACCCACGTTTGCTGGCTCCTCATTTGTGCCAGGCCCTATGCAGAGCGCGGAGGGAAAGGGTGGCAGAAAACATGGGCCTTGCCCTCAGCACTGTCTACTCCACGGTGCTGGTTTTTGGTGCCATGCCTCAGAGCTCTGGGTCATTGCAGGTGAGCTGGGGTAGGAGGCGGGCAGGGAAGCTTGCCTTTGTGTGTGCAGATTTTAATTCAGAGGACAAGCTGGGACACAAGTGGCCGGGGGTGGGGAGGCCTCGGTGTGCCGCCTGATGAGGGCTGTGTGTGCTGTGTGCTCCCAGCGGCAGTCTGGGCATCTCACCTGCAGCAGGTGCTGGTGTCACTGGGAAGTGGCTGGGGCTGGTCTCCCCACAGCACTGGACACACACGCTGCCACGAGGTCGGCAGAGCTACCTGTCTGCCTGACTCTTGCCTAGTGCCTTGGGACGCATGAGGTGGCCTGGGAAAAGTGAAAGTGGTCCCACTGGCCCCCAGGGAGCTGAACCTTCAACTCCAGGGCTAGCTTCACAAGGCAGCTCAGGCCCTGGGTAATTCACAGCCCCAGGAGAGATGCTGGAGGGGAGGGGAGCCACGGCCAGACGGCCAGACGGCCAGCCTCCCCAAGATCAATCCTCCACGGCCTAGGCCGGGGTCGGGGGATCTGCGAGACCCTGTGCCAGCCCAGGGAAAGGCTCCACGTTTCTTGAGGACGACTCCCCAACGATGGGTGATGTCAGAGCCTCACGAGGGAAACCCGGGGACCACCCAGCAGCAGTGCAGCAGGCAGCCAAGGGGCACTGCCAACAGCTGCCACTTGGTCATCTGCGGTGGTCTCCTTTCCTTCCCTGAGGGCTTCCTGAATGTGGGCCACAAATACCTTCCTTTACACACTGGTTTCCAACGAAGGATATCCCCAGATTAGAAAAACAAAGCCACAGACGGGGCCATCTGTTAACATGTGAGCACTGCCTGTGTTGCTGGCTGGGGGCAAACTGTTCAGGCCACTTTGTGATCTTAACCAGGAAGTTGGTCTGCGCGTGTCTTCCCTCCAGTGAGTCCCTCTGCTTCTGACTCCCGGGGAATGATCTCTGTGTAAATGCAGGGGCCATCAGCCTGGACGTACACCCACCCCAGTTTAAATCCCCCCCACCCCTCACCACAACTGAGACAAAAATAGGAAAGCTAGCCTAATAAGTTAAGGCTGAGAGTTTGGGCCCTGAAATGATGGGAAACGTGCAGATTCCATTACAATGCCAAGTCCTGGCAAGAAGAGGATTTCTTATTCTACGAGTGAAAGAGAGAAAGCGTGACGTGCAAGGCAAATTAAAACAATAACCTCCAACCTCCATGCATAACTGACATCAAGATGTGGTTCCCAGACGTGTAATTCCTTGTATGCTCAGGCGCTGGAGGCTGATTAAAAAAAACACTGGACAGAACACCTGCCCTCAAGCACCTCGACACCCAGTGGAATGCATGAGGCAGCTAAGACCCGCCGACCAATTCCCACATGCTACGCCTTACGCTGGACACGACAGCAAACCTTCACCATGCTGCACATGGGGGTAACAGTATCCCTGTTTTAACGGATGAAGAAACTGGATCAGAGGGTAAGCAACTTGCACTCAGTTAACAAGTCATAAAACCAGCGCACGCAGCTCCAGAGGCTCCTCTGGCTCCCCGCACGGAGGCAGGCTGCCCTCGGCGGCACCACAAAGGCTTCGAGAAGCAGTTCTGAGCGCTGGCTGGGATCTCCCCAGGGGCCAAGCCGTGGAGACAGGCCAGAGCAAGGCCGCCTTTCAGAAGCTGATCTAGTTTACAAGGACGTCAGAGGCTGCGGACAAGCCCAGAGCACTTTCTTTATGGGCACTAGCATTTCTCAAAGCACGATCCCAAGAATCCCAGAGGGTGGGTGGGTGCCAAGACCCTTCAGGAGTCTGCAGAGATACAACTACTTTTATAATATGACTGGGACATGACTTTCTCTTTCCACTGTCTTGCTGCTACCTTGGGTGCTGTTAAGAATAATGATGGCTTTGTAACACTGCTGGTAGCGTAGCAGAAAACAAGCACCAAGGGTGCCAGCAGTGACTGCGACTGACAAATGGAACGGACTGGCATCACTGCGGAGGTCTCCCATCACTGCAGAGCGGCCGCTGAAGCCACACACGTTGGCATCGCGACTTGTTGGTTGTATGTGAGCCCCCGATCCTCCAAGGTCAGGCACCGAGCAAGCATGAGGAGCAACACAATTCACTTAATCAAGCAGTGATGCTGGAGGACTCCCCCCCCCACCACCCCGCCACTGTTCTGAGCACCACGTACGCACAAGGCACTTGTGTTTGTAAAGGAACAGTTTCTCAAGACCCCTCTCTGGGATAGTCTGAGTTACAAGCTGAACTAGCCACCTTTTTCACCAAACGGCATTTTTACTTGCAAGAATTTATAATCTAGGTTTACTCAGATCTGGGCTTGTGGCAGATGTCTGCTCAACACCAAACGAAGCCACGATGGCTTGTGTGTCTGTGTGTGTTGGGGGTGCGTGTGCTGTCGCATCACAGAAACCCACGGACAGCCCTTCTGGCCCATGATTCAATCTGAACTTTCAACTGAAAACCAGAATTTTGAGAAACGTGTATCTATCCCTCTGAGCTTGACAGCTTCCTCACTCGCGGAAGACCTTTCTGCTAACAGCGGTGGTGGCTGCAATACTTTTTAACACTGCAGAATGCAACAGGTCAGTGATTGGAAGAGCCGCGAACCGCAGGGAACCAGACGTCCCACATGGGTGACTCTCAACATCACACGTTCAGACTGATGCGTGCGCCAGACGGACAGGTCTTCATGATAGGAATACACAGAGCTCGCTGATGGGTTTCCAGACTGCATGCGATAATTAAACTTTGAGGAATAACCTCTCGTCAAGTTTTGGTGTAGTATCAAAGAAGAATATGCACAGTTATCTAGAAGAAGTGACCGTGGCACTCCCAACCTCCTTTCCCAAGTGCACAGCTTCAGAGAGGTCAGAGTGCTCTCCACGACACCGACAGCGGAGTCAGCTGGGACGCTGCAGCTGCCTCGCGGTAAGCCGGCCGTCACCGAGGCCGGCGGAAAGGCCGAGCGATGCTGCCTGTCTCACTAATGGCTTCTCCACTCTTATCAATAAACTACCCATCTTCACAGTTCTCACTTTAAGTTCTAATACTGCAAATTATTCATAAACACAGCTCTTTTAAGAACATGAACAAAAAGAACCTGAAATTAAAAAAGAAATCAACCTGAGAACCAACTGATGCAGACCTGAGGTTGGCAGACTTCCTAAGAAAGGTCACGGGGTCAACTTTGAGGCCTGGTGGTCCAGGACCGTCTCCTGTGTGACTGCTCACCTCTGCGTCCGTGCAACAGCCGCCGCAGACACTCCAGAAGCAATGTGCATGGCAGTGTGCCAATAAAACTTTATTACAAACACGGCCCCCTCCCCAGAGCAGGGCAGGTCGGAGTTCACCAGCCCCTAACTTGGACGCTTCCCCGTGTTGGTGATGCTGGCAGTCAGATCGTGCTCCTCTATAGAATTCCCAGGGCTCCCCTCACTCCAAGTGCCGAAAAGTGACTGGTCTTGGGCCCCGTGTGCCAACCGTTCCCTCTGCCAGGAACATTCTTTCCTCAAGTTGGCTGCAGTGACTCCTCCCGACAGCCTGTGTGCTTCTATCCGCAGCGCTGACTGCCCCCAACATGCTGCACCCTGAGGATGTCCACTCAGTGCCCGTCGCTGCCCCTGCAGCATCAGCTCTGCCTGGCACCCCTCACTATCCCGGCACCTGGAACAGGGGCTGGTGCACAGCTGGTGCAGAGTGAACAGACACGGCGTCTCCAAAGCATGGAAGCACCGACAGCTCACAGGGCAGCTAACTGTGCCATCAGCTGGTGAGCCGGAGGCTGTGAGCGATGCCCAGGCACTTTGTATCGTCGGCTATGACACGGACTGGATGGATGAGTGAGCTTGAGGCCCTGCACAAACATTACCAGAAGTAATCTCACCTTTAAGTCGTATTTCCTATATACAGACAGACGGTGGCTGAACACATTCCTGGTAACAATCACGTATATTTCCACGCCGTCGACATTAAGCCGGTACATGCCCAGGAACTGGGGGAGAAGAGTGATCCCGTGACATTCCACTATGTACTGCAGGGAAAACAAAGAAAATGGTGAAGGTCCAATCAGAACACGCTCTAGAGACGTAAAGCACAACTCTCCTGCCGATGACATTCATGCAAAGGAAAACCCTTCAGCCAGCGAGGTCCTGTTTACACGGGATCACCACACTTGCACTGTTTACTGATCAGATCTGTGCTTGCCACTTGTACAAAGATACTAAGAAAATTCCGTTTTATCTCCGAAGAGATCCTTTTCCTAACACTTTAAACTCGTTTGTAAAGTTATAACTTGGATATAACAGTGCGAAGCAACAGGACAAGTGGTTGGTCCTTCCTGAAATTCTTTTGAGGTGAGGTCACACTCCATCCAGGCCTTCTATCATCTACTCCAGAATCCCTGACCATGACTTTACAAGGGGAAGGCTGGGCAACTTGACCATCAAGACTAGCTGCTGCTGCTATTTCTTTTTTAAACATTTATTTAAAGGACAGAGAGAGACAGACAGACACACACACATACATAGCTTCCATTTTTCAAATGCCTGCCACAGCCAGGGCTTGGTTGGGGCCAAAGGTGGGAGCCAGGAACTCAATCCAGGTCTCCCGCATGAGTGGCAGGAACACAATGAGTTGAGCCACCATTGCTGCCTTCCAGAGTCAGCACCAGTGGGGTGCTGGAGTCAGGAGCCAGAGCTGGGTATTGAACCCAGGAACTCTCGTGGGGGATGCTAGCTTCCTTAACAGCATTGAAGCCACAATGGAGGAGGAAACCGTACCGCGCTGGGTCTCAGGAGTTAGCAGGGCTGAGTTCTGGCGTTCGTTTCCCAGAGACTTTAACATCTAGAGCTAAGCAGGGGCAAGAACGGGTCTCCTTGCTACCATGGATCATTTGCTCCTGCTCTATACACAGACGGGGATTCTCTGGCTCCGGGTTGTTATTCACCAAATCTGTTGGATGAACCCCGGGGCTGACATCATTTCCAAAGTGAGTTGCAAAAACACAACATGGCCTTCAGTCTTTAATGACCATTCTCCAAACAGCTCCAAGGGCCCACCAGATGGCGCTGTCTCCTGACTGGCAGACATAATATAAACAGGGTCCAGAGCAAGTTTAAAGTTTTCCTTTCCTTAAAAGCAGAGGAAAAACTTTTCAGAAAAAAAGTATGCCTATGACATATTTGAAATCTCCAGGCTAGTGGCCAGCATGAATAGCATGAGCTGAATACGGTAAACCCTGTGCACATTTACGCAGACGCCTGGGAGAACTTCGCCAGATGCTAGTAGTGGAATTTAGGGTGATTTTTATTTATTTATTTATTTTTTTGTCTATCCTACTTGGATTTTTCTTTTTTCCCCAATGGGAATTTCATAAAAAATAAAAGTAATTAGAATGCTTTCCTTTCAGACTTTTTAGTGGTATGCACTGTTAAATCAACTGATAATATTTAACCACCTTCGGTATTAAAAGCCTTTCATTTTTATGGGACGTGGGCACTGCAGGCAATGTCTTGATCTGCTGTGCCATGACACTAGACCCTTTAATTTGATGTATTTTCTGAGTGGTTTTACCTCAGCTTAGTATTTGAAATCGGATGAGTGTATCATTTTCTATTTCTCTCCTTTCAAAGTATAATCAATTAACTTGGAATTTTGCTAATGCAAAACAGGTCAGAAGTAGCCCTTGGCTGAAAAGAAAACTTTTCACATCGGAACTGTAGACATAAAAAGGGCAGTTGTCGGCTGCCTTTGCAGACAGGCGGGTGCATGGGCCTGAGGCACGGGGACCGGACCGCTGGGTTCTGCCGGGCGAGCACAGCCGGAAGGCGAGCAGCTGTGCGCCCCCGTCGGTGCCTCCGTGTTACGGGCGGTGGAGGCTCGGGCAAGTTCCTCATCCCTGTGCGTGTTAGTGTCCCCTTCCAGAAAATGCGCGCCTGGTTCCTGCCCCGAAGGCTGCTGGGCGGATGACAGACAACGAGGCTATCGCGGCACTTCACCCAGGAGCCGAGCCCCGCGCTCAAGATGGCGGTGATGGGGCTTCTATTCGCAGCTCTGGCACCGTCCGTGTGGTGCGTGAAACCAGCTCGCAGCGACGCCCTGGCTGTGTCTGGGATGCACTCTGCGGTGGGAACTTTCCAGGCCCACAACACACGACCCTGGGCCCCCAGCACCTGCCAGTGTCAGTGCGGCTGTCACTGCGTCTCTGTGCCACTCCGCTCAGATGGTTCTCGTCATGGGCTCCCTGTTAGACGCCCTGCTGAGACAGGCTCTCCTTGGTCAGGATCGGCATTCACGTTGCTGACTCTGCCCAAGAAACTTCGTGAATATTACTCAGAGAAGCTCTTCTGAGTTTTCTTTTTATCAGGGAAAAATACCCACAGGTTATATTCTGTGACAATCCCCCACACCTAATCTAAGGCTAGATCTGCTGGGGCCAGTGCTGTGCAGCAGGTTAAACCAACGCCTGCCACGCCAGCATCCCAAGTCAGAGTCCTGGCTGCCCTCCTTCCAATCCAGCTCCCTGCTGATGCACTTGGGAAAGCAGTGGAAGATGGCCAAGCCCTTGGGTCCCTGACACCCATGTGGGAGACCCAGATGGAGTTTCTGGCTCCTGGCTCCCGCCTGGCCCAGCCATAGCCATTTGGGGAGAGAATCTGCAGATGAAAGTGACCGCCTCTCTGCCACTTTCTCCTTCAAATAAATAAGGATAAAATCTTTAAAACATTTTTTTAAGCAACACTAGATCTATCACTACACAGAATAAAACAGATCAAATTGGATCTAGTGGATGGGTGTTCAGCCCGGTGGTTGAGATGCCAGGATCCCACAGCAGTGTGCCTGGTGTTCAATAACTGGCACCAGCTCCCGATTCCAGCTTCCTGCTAATGCAGAGCCTGGGAGGCAGAGGTGATGGTCAAGTGCTTGGGTTCCTGGCATCCACGTGGAAGACCTGGGAGACCTGGATGGAGTTCACAGCTCCGAGCTCTCGCATTAGCCCAACCCCAGCTGTTACCAGGATTTGGGCAGTCAATCAGTAGATGGGGAGCACTCTCTCTGCCTCTCAAGCAAGGAAATGAAAAATTTTGAAAAATCCGAACTACTTCCTCAGTGTCTACGTGTACTGATGGCTCACCTAAGGGCTCTCAGATGAAAATTACAGATTATGAGTCTGCTTAAAAATCCTTGAGTACATAAACATATACAACACCACAACTCATCACATTTAAGTCTATCTAGGAGATCCCAGCACTACCAAACAGCAGAGGGTGCCAAGAGCATGGGAAGCATTTATGACCCAACATTTTGCAGAAGAGAACGTTCTATCCAAGGAGTGAGTTTCTGGCTGTGGGCCCAGGGCAAAGGATCCACTCACTTGTTCATAAAGGAACTCCAGGGCTGGAGGAGGCCACGGTCCTCCAGTACCACCATGCAGCCACTGACACCAAGGGGCCTGCAGGTAATCCTTTCAGCCTCTTCACCAGCTGACCCAGAGTACGCTAAAGTCTTAGCACCCGCGGGCTTATCTATAAGGACCCCTACGCACACAAATTACAAGAGGAGATCTCAATACCTAGGGGTTTGTGAATTCACGGCCATAGCTTTAGCTGGGGCTCTTGGCGCAACTCAGCCACTCCTGGTGCTGTGGGTCCAGCCGTTGCCTTCACTAACTGTGTGACCTCGGGTGAGTCACTCAACCTTGCCGAGGCTCCTGATTTAGAGACCAGGAGTAACAGCAGCTCCTAACCCACAGGGTTTTTGTGATGATTAAATTAGCAAACGATTGGGGCTGGTGCTGTGGCGCAGTGGGTTAATGCCCTGGCCTAAAGTGCAGGCATCCCATATGGGTGCCGGTTCAAGACCTGGCTGCTCCACTTCTGATCCAGCTCTCTGCTGTGGCTTGGGAAAGCAGTGGAAGATGGCCCAAGTCCTTGGACCCCTGCACCTATGTGGGAGACCTGGAAGAAGCTCCTGGCTCCTGGTTTCGGATTGGCACAGCTCCGGCCCTTGCGGCCAATTGGGGAGTGAACCATCGGATGGAAGACCTCTCTCTCTCTGCCTTGCCTATCTCTGTGTAACTCTGCCTTTCAAGTAAATAAATAAATCAGCAAATTATAAGTTCTTAGGACAGAGCCTATTGCAGGTTGTCGTGAAACAAGAGGACTTCAAGAAGTTCAAGGAAAAATGAAGTTCAGACAGAATTTAAGAATGTAGATTTTTATCACTCAACTTAAGCTCCATCAAAGTCAAGACACTATTATAAGAATTGACAGCAGTCATTTAGTTCACCCCTAAAGAGCTGAGGGTCCAGAGAATTGAACCACAGTAATGCCAACTTTTAACATTATTACCTGGAGAGAAAGGGGTGCCCCTTACAGAGCTTTTTGAAACAGAGAGAAATAGGGAGCCAGATGAGGACTCTCTCATAGGCAGATGCTCACTCGTCTCCCACCAAGACTCTCACAGAACTGCCCGTTAGACGAGAGGAGCAGGAGCAGTCACGGGGAGGCCTCTCTGGGAGTCTTCATGTGGAGACTCTCGCTCCCGCTCTAAAGATACTCTACTAATAAGCAGATGTTACCAGCCCTTGGCCCTCCCAAAAGTCAACAGCAAAATGCTTCGAGCATCCCCACAAAAAACTGATGCTGTTACCTTCTTTTTTTTTTTTTTAAGATTTATTTATTTGGCTGGTGCTGCGGCTCACTAGGTTCTAGTCCTGGTCGGGGCGCCGGATTCTGTCCCAGTTACTCCTATTCCAGGCCAGCTCTCTGCTGTGACCCGGGAGTGCAGTGGAGGATGGCCCAAGTGCTTGGGCCCTGCACCCGCATGGGAGACCAGGAGAAGCACCTGGCTCCTGGCTTTGGATCGGTGCGGTGAGCCAGCCACAGTAGCCATTGGGGGGTGAACCAAAGGAAAAGGAAGACCTTTCTCTCTCTCACTGTCCACTCTGTCAAAAAAAAAAAGATTTATTTATTTATTTGAAAGGCTGAGTTAAAGAGAAGCAGAGAGAGAGAGAGAGAGAGAGCGAGCGAG